TCACTCTGCACTGCTGTGTGTCTTTGGGCTGCCCGAAGGCTGTGACAAAGCCCTGCACCAAAGGCTCTAAAGCGAAGTTCGTTGTCATGGAATCAGAGGGAAAGTCCTTTGGGAACTGGTTAAAAGACAGGAAACAAAGGGGAGGAGTAAATGGTCAGTTCTCAGTGGAGAGAGGTAACTAGCGGGGTCCCCTAGGGATCTCACTCTGCACTGCTGTGTGTCTTTGGGCTGCCCGAAGGCTGTGACAAAGCCCTGCACCAAAGGCTCTAAAGCGAAGTTCGTTGTCATGGAATCAGAGGGAAAGTCCTTTGGGAACTGGTTAAAAGACAGGAAACAAAGGGGAGGAGTAAATGGTCAGTTCTCAGTGGAGAGAGGTAACTAGCGGGGTCCCCTAGGGATCTTTTCTAGGGCTGTGCCGACATATTCATAAATGATTTGGCAAGGAGGGCGAACAGGGAGGTGGCCGAATGTGCAGATGTTCCTCAAGGAAGCAGCCAGCCACAAGAGGATCAATCAGTAACTGCCCTGCTCTGTACATTCCCTCTGAAGCACCTGGCACCGGCCATGGTCCCAGTCGATCCTGGGCTAGGAGGACCACTGGTCTGACCCAGGAGGGCCGTTCTTACCTTGCTGTAGCCTAGGAAAAGCCTGACAATATTTTATGCCACCCCAATTCCACTTCCATGTGTGGACTCTTGTGAAAGGCAGGCAAGTTAAAGCCACAACACAACACTGGGGTAAGTATCATCCACAAAGAGCCACCACTGCAGCTGTGAGCCCACCAATGCACTCTCCTGCCCCAGGGCAGTGGGGAAGGCAGGCAGTCTCCTCTCTGCTCTCATCTGACAGAGCTGAAGATCCTAAACGAGCCTACGGGAGAGTTTGTAAAATGAAAACATAGTTCAGTCCAAAGTTCACCTGTCCGTGTTTTCCTTTGTCCCTCTCAGCTACTACGTGGGCATGTGCGGAGACGGCGCCAATGATTGTGGGGTACGTAGAAACAAAATCCCTCGTCCTCCCAAAACGAGGGGCCATGAACAGAGGAGATGACTCTGCTGCCTAGAACCATTGCAACAGCACTGTCCGACTCCGGTTGTCAGCACAGACAATCCAGATCTCCTTCACGTGTCCCCTTCTTTCCTGGAGTTCTTCATGTGGCAGCAGCAGCTCCCCTGTTGGCAGTAGCAGGTTCACCAGCATAGCTGTGCCAGGGTAGCCCTGTCTGTGAACACGAGCCCTACGGAGGGAGGTCCCAGCCTACAGGCTGTGGAAGGGTGTAAAGAAAGCAGTGAGGGTCCAGGAGGAGATAAGTAGGAGCCATGGGATGACAAGCAGCAAGGGAAGGAATGAGAAGGCATTAGCTGGACTTTGGAATGGAGGCAGCTCAGTTCGTCGGGACATTCAAACCAAGACAGGACCAAACACCCGAAAACAGGGGGAGCAAGTTCACACGGGCGGGGGAGGGGCTCTCTCGCAGGGACGTATCCTGACCAGACACTGGTGTATTTCAGGCATTGAAAATGGCCCATGCAGGGATATCATTGTCAGAGCAGGAGGCATCGGTGGCTTCGCCTTTCACGTCCCAAATCCCCAACGTAGAGTGCGTGCCAGAGCTAATCAGGTAACGCGGCCCCTCCGGGGTGTCAGGTACACACTGGTGGAAGCAGGGCTGTGCCCGCTGCAACGTCTGTTACCAGGAGTCACACAACAGTCACCACTTCCCCTGAGCCCCAGGAGCACGCCCTCAACGGGCCCTGAGAAAACAGCCCATGGCCTCATGACACCGCGAACGAAAACCCAACACGCGGAGCCGGTCCTCAGGCAGAGCCCTGCGCCCTGTTACCATGGCTGGTTCTACGCTCACCACAGAACGTTTTTCCCAACAGGGAAGGCCGGGCCGCTTTGGTTGCTTCTTTTGCTGTGTTTAAGTACCTGACCCTGTACGGCCTCACGCAGTTCATTGGCACTTCTCTGCTTTACTGGGTACGTGATCTCCCCGCAACGAGGTGCGTCTCTCTCCAGGTTTCACCCCTGCTAGCATCCCACCGCTAGCGGGAGAAGTCTGGCACCCACCAGCTGGGAGAGGGGATGCAGCAAGCAGGTCTGGTAACAAAATGGCTCCTTAAGGAGTACAGTGCAGTTTTGGTATAAAAATCAGCTCGGCAGGACTTCTGGAGGAAAGGAAAGGAATCTGGTTTCCTATCGGGATAGCGGAAAGCCGGCACCAGGTCTTACCCCTCTGCACAGCCACCAGCGTGGCCTGTGTTCCCCTCACGCTGGACAGTGGCAGGGCCCGCACGGGGCGGCCCGCCACCGCCCCCGGGCGTCA